GTCCTTCTGCGCCCTTTCCAACGTTTGCATTCCAGTCGCCTATAATTACCAAAGCAGCTTGACTGCACGTTTGATCCATCTCAGACGGAAGTCCTTGGTAGGGTTCTTCAGTTTCTGCGTCCCTCGCTTGCTTTAGGGGTTGGTGCACACATGTGAGTAACTGTTGTATTGACTGGATCGCCTTGGAGCGCAGACACGGTTTGATTACAGACAACACTGTACGTCAAGATCTTTTTGTTTGTTTGGTTTTTGTTTTAAGACGGGTCTTAAAATGACCTTTTTTGATGAGGAATGTGACAACATTCCTCTCCAATCTGTCAATTCCAGCAGAGGAAACCAATATGATTTTCTGATTCACAGTGGCCAATACCCGTCCATTTCAGTTTGCCAACGTCTAGGATGTTGATCTTTCTGCATCCCATCTCATTGTTGACAACCGACCATTTTCCTAGATTCATCCCTCATAGACTCCAAGTCCCAGTTATTCACTGATGTTAGCCGCCGTTTCTTCTCCTTTGTGTCGTGCCCATCAGCACGTGGAGACCCGGAGGCTTCACTCCGTCCACGTCATTATGTTCAACTCTGTTTGGGGCCGTGTCTGCCGCAATCATATTTTGAGTGCCTTCTGATCTGAGGGGCTCCTCCTCTGACGCTGTCCCTGCCTGGAAAGGGCTACCAGCTATGCAAATGAGGGGCTGTGACCTGCCAAGGGGATTGACTAGCCTATTAAAATGTGAATCAGGTGCCTAGCGCCTGCAGAAGAGTGGACCAGCAAAATAAGGAGACTAACCTGGGCCCCCTGGGCCATCCCGCAAGGCTGAAAATGAGCCATCCCAGAGGCAGAAAGGGGGACCTCAAACCCACCCAGGCACTGAGCATCTGAAAGGCCCCCGCCTCCAATCAACTCCATGGCAACTGGTCTTTGCATTTTCGGGGCTCCCGGCACCTGTGTGCAGAGGAGGATGAAGCCGGCTCAGTCGGGCCTGGTAGAATCGGGTGGCTGAGGGGCCGTCAGACATGCATGCTGTCAGACCCTCCATTTTTCTGTACCCGTCTGACCCCCCACAGTCCCTCCCACGGCACTGCTTCACCTCAGGGTTCGATTATTTGTTGCAACGGCCACGCCACACAGAACTCACCGGTAATGCTCATGATCAAGGGGGCTTATTAGGGAAGCTAAGAGATTACCACACATCAGGGTCAGTAAACAGCAGGAATACAGTCACTGGTGCACAGCAGCGCCTCTCCACAGCGAGCAGCCACATCTCCTAGTCCTCAGCCCCTCAGCGACAGGGGCCAGGAAGCCAGCCGCCACTGGGCCTCACAGCCTCATGGTCTCAGCGCTGCTCCTCTGCTCCGTCTCTAGGTCGGTCCCCTTGCCGCGGCCTCCGCCAGTCGGGATGCAGCACTCGGAAGAGCTCCTCTGGTAGCTCTCCTTCCGGTGGATGGGCCTGGGCTTTTCTGTGATCCTGCTCCTGAGAGGGCTCGTTTCTTACAGGGAGGTGCGGTGTTTGTCTCCCATCGGCCCATACCCTCAAGGACACCCAGGGTGGTGACTTGGTGTACACGCTCTACTAAGGTGGAGGCTCCGAATACATTACGCCTCCTTCCAGCCAGTAGCACAGCAGAGAACACCCTTCCCCGTGGGACCGTGCCCACCGCCGGCAGAGAGGTTTGAATTCACAACTCAAAACCAAAGGATGATGGCTAGAAGGGCCATCTTCAGAAATTAACTATGGCCCACCCGGTGATAGCAGCTTATATCCAGTGTACAGGGTCAGGACCCTGTGGGAAGCTGGCCTTTGTCCCTTCGTAGGCCCTGGCTTGTTTTCAAGGTACACCGAGCATCTCCAGGCTGGCCGGTCAGTGGCTGAGAAGCTGACACAGCCATTGCTGAGGGACAGGACTGCTAGGTCTCTCCATTTGAGGTGACTCTCTGGCCAGTGTTTTCCTGTCACTAGTCCTGGCTTCCCGGATGAGAGAGCCAGGCTGATGGAAACTTCTGGATTGGTGCCCCTCACACCCACTCAGCCCTTGTCATTTGATGTGTCCTCAGGGGAGGCAAACTCATTTTGATATAAGCTCCAGCGAAGAGTAATTAGGGCAGCAAATCTGTGGTTTGACCATTAAAAAGAGCCTGCCCGTTGACGGGTCTCCAGGCCCCGGAGAAGCGCGCTGGCGTGGAAGGGAGGTCAGGCGCCTGGCCTGACTTTCAGAAGTCTGTTGCCAGGCAGTGGGGGGGTGGGGTGGGCGCAGGGCTTGGCAGGAGAGGTCAGGGAAAGTTGATGTCTTCCTTACCCCCCACTAGGAAAGTCTGGGAAAGATTTACTTGCTG